AAATGTATAGCGTTGAAATTGCAAAAATATGTTTTAAAAAGGAAATTGCGTCTGTAAATATTTTCTTCCTACGAGTCAAGCAGTCTTGGCGTTTTTGTGAGACGATCCAATCGACATCGCGTGAGACGCGTTCGTTATAAATTTGTTGTAAACTCGACGGGCAGAGGATCGAATGCAATTAAACGACGTGTTAATTAGACGTAGGAGTGATCGTGTCGTGGAAAAGGCGCATCGACCTCGCGGTGCATCGCCGCCGCGGATTCCGAGGATCGTGTCTTAGAGCTCGCGTCATTGTACCAATTAGATTAACCAGAGACAATATTCCTCTGAGGGCCCGATGCCGTATGTTTTAATTGGGCCCCGTAGTTAGAGCCGTGCCATAATGCCGCGGCAAACCGCCTCGGCAGAAACGCGCCTATTTTTATGAGGGGATGACGTCAACCCGTGTCAATTTGCAGCTGCAAACGAGCTGCCAGCCGCGACGACACGATGGAAACAACAACGATGACGATGACGATGACAAAACGGCTCTCGCCGGTCAGTCAACCAAAGCCGCGTCTTTTTTCGTCGACCCTCCGGTTCGCGCGCATCCAGACTCCGTTAAATATCGCTTTAATTCGGCTTAATTAGTGCCGTCGTGCCGGTGGCTCGCTCTTCTCTTCGGATGAATTGACCTTACGCCCTCGCTCGTAAGCGAATCATTTACTTTCTCAGGAGTGCGTGCGGATCGCCGATGAAAAATATCCTATCTCTGTTCGCGGGACGAGTTTACGCGTTAATGGGTGAAATCGTGCCCGCGACCGGCGAGAAAACTGCGCCGATCTTTCCCGTGAGAGATCGAGAGCCGAGCAAGAGCGAGATAATTCGTTGCCACTTATCAAAAGAGAACAGGTTGGTCAGAAGAATCGTCTTCGCAAACGATGCTTTCGATGGGAGAACTCTATAATTACTTGTTCACCGGTAATGAGAATTCATTATGAATGTTTACGAAAGAGAGCACATTTTCTGCCGTTTCTGTTCGATATTCGATTGATAGTCCATTACAATTTTAATTGCATCGACACGGATACTTATGGAAGACCTTAATACGATTCCCCACTCCTTCAGCACGAAATTAATGAAAATACTAATTGTAATTGACATTCCTATCGATTTGCGAAATTGGCTAGAAAACTCATTTTAAATTTTGCACGTTATCTACTATTCTTTCTTCGATTTCAATTACGAATCTTATTATTATGGGGAAATAGATTCGAGCGGATTAATTCTCAATCCATCGACAGAAGCTAAACTGGAATATAAATATATCCTTATCATCCCGGTTAAATCAACTCGGTCGTAAGTTTTTTCGCGTTCGTAGAAATCGCTAAAAAATTCGAAAACTATGATACGCAGAAAAGAGCATTTGCCTTTCCTAATCCTATCGCTTTTCTTAAGTTGAATAAATTGAGAAGTGGGTTATTAAGCATGCAAAGCATTCTGAATGCGTTTACTCTTCTATTTTAATTAACGTATAATTACTGAAATAATTAAGTGTAAATATAAAATAGTGGTGAATAATGGTCTTTCTAGAAGTTCCCCCAACGAGAAATTGACTCCAACTTATCAAAACTTCCGCCATTAACATTAAAAGTGAAGGATCTTTGCGACACTTTACGCAATAATAAATAGGATACTTTGAAACCTAATATGATTAAATACCGTTTAAACTTCAGTATATACTTTAATATACACATAGATTATGCATTGTAATTTGCACTTTAAACTCGTCTTTACTTTCTTGAACAAATTTGCTTAAATAAAATACGCACAGTTATTAACAAACATTGCTAAATGAAACTCATCGTTGATTTGGCATTTCAAATCTCCCGGAGCGTGAAACGACGGAGGCTGATTACGATTCATCCATTAATAAAAAAAAAAAGGTTGATTTTGCGTCGAGCGTTAATTTGTGGACTTTTCAATTGCGGTACGAGAATTTAATCTTTTAGCCCTTCCATCTTTTTTTGTATAGTTACTTATTTCGTCGCGCGGTCGAGTCGTAATCTCGGTCGTAAAAACGCACGTGCAAGTGCGAATTTATTTTCTTCTCACGACGATATTTCAACGATAGGGAAGATGCAACAGAGTGGAACTCCCTTAAATGCATTTGCCAGTCGATTTAGAACATATTATGTTCATATTATAATTCGGTTATTGCTGTCGCGAATAAAATCACGAAATCGCGACGTCAGCGGAATTCAGAACATCACGTTGCTACGCACGGTTGTAAAATAATGCAAATTAAACCACAAATGCTATAAAACGCGTTATTTGCGTCGCGGCGGCGACGATAATACGGCGATACCGATAAAAGACTAAATTAGTCATTCACCTGTTGATCATGTCAGTCTCGGTCATCGGGAACGACCGGTTTCGCGCTTAACGCGCTTTGCCGGCAGTCCTATATTCCGTTTGAAGCTTCGTTCTCAAAGATCTCTCTCATTCCGAAGCGCCGCGTTCGCAGCTCGCGAGCAATTCACCTTTATGATGAATTCATGATGATTATTTATGATACCTCTGTCGGAGCAATCCGCGCCGAGTTTCTAGGTCTTAGTTCTCGACGAGAAAATTCGCTTGTGTCGTACAGAAGGGTAACGCGTGCAGATAGGTTCTGCATAAAGTATGCGATAAAAGGTCGCGCGTGAAGGTGCGGTAAGCGCATCTTCACTTTCTTACGACGTTCGCCGGAGTTTACTTCGCCGGGCTGTAACGGCCGCAAAAATGGCGCCGCCTCACCATAAATTGCTCTCGGAAATGCATTCTTTTTTCCCTCTTTTTTCCCCACCCTTACCTATCTATTCCTCTTATGGACGGAGCCACGGTAGAGGTCGTAGAGATTGCGCGATTATCGCGAAAATAACGAGATTTTGCATCGCTCGTCAAATTGGCGAGAAAGAAATCTCCCGCTGAATAAATCGAGGCGCGTATTTTATTCGTTTTTCCTTTCTGCGAATTAGCACGACCCACTGCTGACGCGCGAATATGTCGTTCCTTTATAAATATTCATGTCGTGCGATTTGACGGTATCACTAGCCGTCGGTTAATATCGGCGTCTATAAAAACGAGACGCGCTTATTCAATTTTATTATTACTTTACCGTCACTTTATCTTTATTTTTATGAAAATGGAGAGTAGGTAAGGGTCCA